ATTAGTATTCAGTTAACTACAAATTGCAATAGTAAATATAGACATGAGCCATTTATTCGATAAGAAATCAAGACCACTTTCAGTTTCTTTAATGGAACTGTATATTTTCTTATGCACCGATCGCTTCTTTACATTCGATTTAGAGAATACTACAGAGCTTAGGACGACAATTGATTGGTTAAGAAGTACTGATTTTTTTCCTGAACACACAGATACTCGAAACACTGTGCGTCCTGCAAAAAAATGTTGATTTTTATAATTTCCTCTTTTAAACTTGTAGTTTTTAAACCATAACAATACGAACGAATAATTTATGGTAGGAAATAGATAAATTCCATAATACAGTACCGACTTGCTGGATGAATGTGTCAGCTGGAATAGAATCAAAAAACCCGAATTGTTTACAATGAATCTCCGAAAGGGTAAAAAACATTGGTACGTTTTCGGTGTCCTTTTAAATTTGATCATTATTTACACATATTTAGGTGTCTATAATATAATAAAAATTTACATAATTTTGTTTAGGAGAGTTCAAAGAATTATTTCGTCTCAAAAGTAACTGAATGACTATTACTCTAAAAGCACAACACACCTCCAATGTTGAAAAATTGCAATTTTTAAAAAAATCGATTTTTTGAATAAGTGGAAGTGCGGTTTGCAGATTTGTATTCATCTCATGAACATTCGCGAAAATGTTACTTAATACTTACAGTTTTCTATAACTTCTCACGTACTAGACTGCTGTTGCACCGATACGTAAAGTTTCAAAAAGTGTAATCTTTCTTCCTCAAACAAGGTCGTTATTCACAATGATTCATTATTAGTCACAGAGACGTTATCGCTAGGACAACGACCCAGAACAAACAATGCCGCTATCATTAGATATTCTTCGGAACACACCAAGATTTTCGCTATATTTTACAAAGTAACGAACGGGGGTGGTTTATGTTTAAAATTTGACTAATTTTAGATAGAACGCCGTATCCCACCGCAAACAAACTACATACTGTTCTCTTTTAATTACTTAATAAGAAGAAACAAAGCGATAATCGTGTAGAGGAAGGGCCAAGTTATAGAGAGGATGTGGTAAAACTTTCCACTCCACTTATCGACGTACGCGAGTAGCAGTGTGCAGTAAGAGTGTACACTGTCAGTTAATCAAAAGTGAGTTGATGTGCGTTAATTTTGATTGGATTGTGACGATTTCTTTTTACAATATACATTAGCCAAAATAATTTCTCTGTATCGACTTGTATTTATCATGCATAGTGTTTCTACAATTCTGCTTCCCTGAACAGTGATGGACTCTGCGAAACACTATTTGCAGCAATCGAAATTCACATTCTTAAGTTTCATCTTATAAAATACAAAGGTACAAAATCTGACGTTTCCACTAATTGAAATTATACCAGAAATTATACACTTCTGATTGGTGGAGAAACATAACAGTTTTTTACACGCGACAAATAACTTGTATATTTTATATTAACGACATCGAAACAAAAGTTCGAGTTATATCGTATAAAGTGAAGGAATAATTAGAAACAATGAAGAATAATGAATAAATTAATGATCATAAATTATAATCAACATGTTACCTAGCAAATCATTCTTTTAGAATTTCTTGTTTTTTTCTACTGATTTTTAAAAACACAAATAGTCATGTAATTCATTGTAAAATCATATTCAATACGTTTTTCTGTATAAAGATCAAGGACTTACGATCGCAGTGAGCAAATTCACTCGAGATAAAAAAATCGCAATCATGGTCGTAAATAAGGTTAAATCACGACCGTGATCGTGATTCGGCGATCACTGTGATAAAACACCGTTAGTGATTTTGCACGCCATCCCTATCCCCTACATACAATACCAGTATGTTGTCTTTACAAAGAAATCATAGTACAACACTATATAGTATGATATATCCATTGGCGTAACCAGGTAGGGACCAGGGAGGGCCTGCCCCCCCCCCCCGTCCAGAAATTATTGAAATATGTAAAAAAACATTCATCAGTCAGTAAAATCTTATGTTATAAAAAGTAAATACTTGCGCCGAATACTCTTCTCATTACGTTAAAGTATTAAATAAAATTGTATTAGAATTATGCTGTTTAATTTTAACATTCTACTGTAACTAATAATCCTGTAACATCAATTGAAAGATCGAATGCAATAAGAAAACTAGCGCTCAAGAATGTGAAAAATATTTTTGCAGAAAAAAACAGCAACTTGAAGCTTATATAGATTTTAACTACAGGTATCTATACCTCGTATACTTCTAAGCAGACGCCAATTTCTTTTCGCATTTTTTTTATTTTTAAGAATTATGTTTATATCTTTCTATTCTTAGTTTTACTGTTAAATAAATATGTAAACAATTATTGTAAAATGTGTAAATTTATTTTATGCAACCCACGTACATGGTATAAAATACATACATATGCCTGAATGGGGAGTGTTATGGACGAAAGTCAGAGGACCTGGCCACCCTCAGACAAAAATCCTAGTTACGCCAATGGTTATACCTAGTAGTACGATTTACGCAAGTCACAAACCTACCAAATCAAAGCTTAAAGTTAAACGTGTGCTGGCAACGGATACTAACGTCGCGTCTAGGGTCCACGATCCTTACCTTAGAATGCGTTCTATTGCCTTCACAGTGTCGTAAAATGCAATCATTGTTGTTCCAACGAATTGTATAACTTCGAGGAAATCCATAGCAGCCCGACCTCGCGAACTAAATCATTCTCGGCAAGCGTACAAATCGCGCGATACGACCGTTTTCCAATCAGTAAGCTTGCTCATTGACGATCTAATTAAACCTGTTTCCTATCCACTGAAATTCCTGGCATTCCACGTGTAATCAGTTTAATCATTTACGCGAAGCGCTATACGCTGCTTAATTCTAAGCGAATCCCTTCAAGTTGGGTGTACGCGCAGCGTGCGTCCTCTGAATATAAATCTCTTGCAGTTATTTATGTATTTCATGAATATGTAGTTCTTTCGAGGCAAGCTAATGAACCACTGCGGCGTAGAAGTGTACGTAACAGTATTTAACTAGTCGGGACATTAATTAATCGAAGAAAGACGTAGAACTTATTCATCGTCTAACCGAACCGCCTCCTCTCGCCAACTATAATATGTTCAAAAATATTACATCCGGAAATTGCAGTATAAATTTTTATAATGCAGTTCTTGTTACGCGATAATGTATAAAATATCAGATGGTTGCGTAACAGGCCTGTCTACGAAAAGGCTCCCTCACGCCGTGCAGCTCCCCAACATTAGGGATGTGCTATGCGGGTAATCGTATACATCGTCGGATTGGAAAAAGGAGAGTGGGCTCGGACGGGTTCCCGCAACCCTGGACCTAAAAGACAGTGCCTTGTTCTGCGGGGGTGTGTCGAAAGGCGGAAGGGAAATCGACTTCTAAATTGACCTTCAGCCATGTTGTACTGGTCAAACTTGTCAACTGTGTTGAAAATTTAAGAGCAAATGCTAATAAAGGAATACATAACTTAATTACAATATAAAAGATACAGTGAGCTTAGTATATCCATCGGACGACGTCATTAAAATCTGCCGATTCTGCGAGAAAATAATAAAATTGTATTCCATTTAAAATAATATTACGAAATTTCTGATTATTTGTAATATAATATTACAAGAACTAGATACACATAATTTATTTTTAAATATTCTAGGTCATTCTAATGATCAAATAGGATTATACAATCACCGAGTTCATTTACTAAAATGTATTACACGATAATATGTCAATGTAAAATATCATCATATTTGTAAGGAAAGGAGTAATACTTCAAATAACAAACGATTATATTTTAATAAACTTGTTTTGTTTTCTGGACACTAAATATTGTCAATAATAATGTATTATTATTGACCCTCCATATAAAAAATTCAGAGATGCACATATTATTTATAAAAATGAAATACAATTTTGTGACCTTATGAAACACATAGAGACAAAATTGTTGTACGATTCACAGTTAACTTAAAATGTGTGGAATTCAATTGTGCAGTTTTAACACTACACGTACCGAACCCTTCAATGTACAATCTATCTATCATCTATCTATCTATCAATCTATCTCAACTAACGTACTTTTACAAATGACTTGTGAATTTATTGATATTTTTAAGCATTACTTGCACTTAAAATCATTTAAAGAATTTCTCCGTAATTATTGGTTCTTGGATCCATATACCTTCATAGTTTTTTATTAACACTATTTCCGATTGGAGGGTCAAATTTTACACATTACAATTAAAAAACTCAAGGTGAACTTCATATCTCGATAAAAAAGCAAAATAGCAAAAATACATTTATCACATTGTCTATGCTCCTTGATACCATATGACTTTCATTTGAAATGTTTTTTCATATAACAAACAGTTTACAAGTAATTTAGGTGGCAAAATTAGGCGAATCACTTTGCATACGTATTTACCTCGCAAAATCGGAATTATATAAAATTTTAAATTATGATGAAGATTCAAGACGAGCGATACAAATTTTAAATATTTAAATCATAATAAATTTGATTATATTGCAGAAGTTTACTTCTAATATATTTAAAAACTATTCGTTTACCAATTAAATACACAACTACTTGAATATAATATACACGAAAACACGAATAATGTTCACTAACTATTTCAGCATTATTTAATTAATATTTAAGCATTCAATTAAAGTTTCCATTATCAAATTATTGATAATAGTTCATTTTCTCTGAAATTTTTCGAACGAAGATTTCTCACATTTCGATTTGTATCAGACTGTAATCTTTGAACACCATTTATCTCTACAGCAGAAACTGAGTTTAAAATAACAGATGTATCAATATGTCATCGGAAGTCCCTTTAAAGTAGATAGTACGTTATCAGTACATCGATAACTGCGCAATCTGCACGCGATTCATAGTTCAACTTTTCGTTTTTTCAGACTTACTCGTGTATATTCTTGTGCAATTATGGGGAATACATCGTCTAACCGAATTCTGCACGAAGATTTACTTGCTACCTACATCGATTTATCCTACCTGAGGAAAAGTGAAATATTGTAGTAAGTAATCGAATTAATTCTTAGAATATACAATTATACATAAGTTTGTTATCACATGCGCGCATGTAGACATATTGTTTGACAGACGTTATCATTTTGGTTACACGAACGTTAACTATAGTATTAGAAACTAAAGAAAGACCTTTAATAAAAAGTATATACATTTAAAAACATATGTATTTTGTTTACATATTTTATGGCTTCATATATTATAATGTAAATTTAATATATTTATATATAAGTGTATGCTTTAATTATAAACATTTATAATGTACATGAAATTGTAATACACAATAAAGTAGAAACTATAATTAAATTCCATGATATTTCAATCGTATTGTGAACATAACCAAATGCTGAATGCGATAAATAAATGTTTCAATGGAAAATATCGAACACCCTGTACATAGCACATATTATAACGGCGTTGACTACGTATGGTCTAATTTAGGATAGTCAACGAAAAAATTACAAAAAATTAAAAAGTATAAAAAGTGTAATACGTGTCCCGATAACTACCGTGTATCAAATTTTTTACAAAATTTTTGCATGTCATTAAACAGTAAAAATAGAGGAAAAACCGACAATTCGAATTTACCCAATTACTACCCTTTTGGTGAAGATAGAGGGTTGAAACTTGGCGGAAACTATTTTTTCTTGACAAGTTATCGAATGGTACATCGCATATCCAAATCAGTCTAAGGGCACTTTTGACCCCCTTATTCTGCTATAAACTTTTTAAGTTTTACTACCGTACGCTGCCGGAAGTATCCCTTTAGGGACACCGACAAAGCTCGAGATATTGTTTTAATTACAACGTAATTAAACATTTAAATATGTTTTTAGCATTGTGCAACGTCTCGATGATATCGATCCAGGAAAACTAAACAAAAATCTTCAACACCGTTTCCCTGTAGAACAGATAGAAACAATATTACCACATGTTCAAGTAAGTTAATTATTCTTCCAATCATTACGTTTCTAGTACTAAAGTACAATCAATGTGTTGAAATTTTTCATTGTTCCTCTGATGTTAAAACTTTTCCTCGTGATATTTTCGTTTAAGAGGAATTGTTTAAAATTTTACTGTATATATTTAACAAACACGATATTATAACAGTGTCCTTATAAATTACTTTAAAAACTTTGATTTTACATAAAAATCCGCAGTCTACTGATAACACTGACTCTCTGAAATATTTCTTGTACAAATGTTGAGGCAGAACTAAATACATGTGCCCGTTCTTATAGAAATTACGTACTGACTTCGGTTAAAAAAGGAATGCATCCTTATCAGTTATAATTTATAATGTTAATTTACTTTAGTGTAGCCCATTCAGTGATTCAATATATCGAGTCTTCTCTTCAAAAAAAGACAACCATCTAAGCCTTGAAGATGTCCTGGATTTATGCTCAGCTTTCTCCGATAATGCCCCGGATGACGTTCGGGCGGCTTGGGCATTTTACATTTTTGGTAAGAAACTAATTATAATTTCATAGACAGAATCAACGAATATATAAAAACAAGACCAATTGATTATTATTAATGGCTTTCACAATAATTTATTAACCTATATTTGTTTTCATCCGGGAAATAACAGTTTTTATAGAAGTCAATAATAATTCATTATTCGTTAAATAGTATAAAAATTGGCGATATTATTTTTCGTACATTTTTATACACTATATTTTTTCCACCAACCGTACTTCCAAACTATTCGTCATACTCTCTGACCGCTGCTTTGTTAAAAAATTTCCAAGAGAAATCGAACAAAATACAAATTATTCATTTATTCGGCAATATGTATGTATTTGATGGTCTTCTAAATAATCCCCATTGCCTGCAGTACATTTATGCTCAGAATTTTTCCAATTTTCATAGCATCGTTAAAACCCGATTTTTGGGATGGCTTTTAGCTCGTTTAACAAATTTTGTTTTATCGCCTCAAAGGACTCAAAATAAAGTCCCAACTGTTACACAAACTGTTCAACAAATCTCAGTTTATTAATATACAGGGTGAACCACGGATCGTGATCAGTAGAAATTACTCTGTTATTAGTAGTCCGATCAAAAATATTTTTATCAAGTATAACATGGTTTCAAGAGAGCTTTAACGTGATTATAGCAAATTTTTTGTCAACTCTTTTTTTTTTTTCATAATATTTCAAGGTCACCTTCAATGTTTTGTAAATACACCTACAATTTTTTACGCCTATCTGTTAGAGGATTTCAAGACGAATTCGGTAAGTATCATAACATAGCATATGTTACTTTTTTTTTCATCTGGGTCGAGAAAAGATTAAAGAAATATTCGAATTGTAATATTACGAAGAGTATCGTATGCTACGCCATTGTACGCGTTCCGATGTTGAGCTCTTTCCTACCGTTTGTAAACATTTCGTTCTGTACATTGGAACACATCCGATAATACCTACTGATCACGATTCGTGGTTCACCCTGTATATACAAATATCAATAACGGAACAAAAGAACCGCGTACTACGTCTAATTTTTTGAACACAGTAGTATATTCTTTAACTCTATTACTGTTACAAATTACTTGACGCATTGTCAAATTATCGGTGTTTCTGTAGAGACAATGTCATCTCATTTAATGAGCGTCTCATACGCATACATTCACATTAGTATTCTAAACCTATCCCGCGTTTCGTAGAATGGTCGTCAGATAACTCTTTACAGACAACGATATCGTTAATACCTTCATTTCCAGACTTGGACGGCGACAATCAAATCTCACTCAACGATTTGATGGGAGCCGTGGAGAGATTGACAGGGAACGATCAGGATGGTCATCAAGGGTTTGACACGCAGCAGACAGAACATGTCGCACGAATGGTAAGTCTCGATAATATTTACTGCCACAAGTTGACGACCGGGTGCAACGGATACGGTATGGGAATCATTTCAATCACAGGGTGATTAACTTGTGTAGAGAGGCTAGAATCTGTTATATTCAATTATACATGTATGATAGGTACAACCATTACTAATGGAGCAATAGTTAAATTACTATATAAATAATGAGTTTAAAAAAACATACTCTTCTTAGACTGTTCTGAAACTTACAATTAAAATAGAATTTTGCTTCCGAATTATTCAGTTTGTAATTTTTACTTTGCGTAACCCTTTTGCAATAGTAAAAAAATGTATCTTATACTCTTGGTTTACTTTTTCGTAAATACGCCCTCATTCAGTTTATCTTTGTTCAGAACATTGATAAGTCTTTTATTACGTTCAAATCTTTCTGAACTACAGTGGATCTCAATGAAAAAACTGACAATTTTACGATTTTAACTGTATTTTTTATAATTACATGAACTAAGTTTCATTTTCTCGTGTACTTTGGGTGCACATTTAATGCTTACTAAATTGTTAACTAAAATTTATCCAGTGTAAAAGCCACGATATTGTGATTTTGATTCTAGATAACCACAAACAAAGAAAATAATTTAATCATCCACTGTATCATATTGTCAAGATTCTCTAATTTTCCACGATTTTTAAGACACTTTAGTTCATAATACTCCTCCTGGCTCACAAAAGGGTTCAAGTACTGTTGACATTAATGTTATAAACGACTGAAAGGAACTTACAAAATTCTGTAAGAATGAAAAACAATTGAATAAAAAAGTAATACTAAAGACGCAGTGTGTCAGATTTCAGTGTGTACAATTATTTTTAACAGTAGTTCGACCATTTTCGATCCATATCAGCAATGACCGGAATAAACTGAGAAAAAACTGACGAAACGGAACAAATCTGGCAATGTTTATTCGAATGTTGATGATAGACATCGAACATTGGCTATGCACAATATATTAACAGCAGTTACTGAAATATATACCGTTTATTATCGCTGTACGTCGCTTGTAATCTCATTTGGAGCGCAAGTTTGAAATTTATTCCATTCCGGCATGTTTACACGAATCGTAATAATACCGATCAATCGAACTCAATCACGCGAATAATTAACGTTAATTCATCATCGCCAATATTCCAATACGTCAGTACGTGAAAATATTAATAGGAACATTATACGACGCGTTACTAAACTGTATGCGTGCACATAATCCGTGCAGCGTCATAAAACGACATATGCATTTTAAATCTTCTGGAGACATCCAGAATTATAACAAAAATATATAGAAACGGTTTCGCCATGCTGCATAATATTTAAAGAAGCTTAAAGAACACCTTGAGGTATCTGTATAACTATTTTCCACGTGTCTGAGAAACTCACACTTACAAAAATAAAATACATTCTCTCGTATAGGTATTATTAATGAACCCAAGTGTGAATGTGGAAACGCAAGATGTCAACCATATTATATGGCAGTGATGCCTATATAATTCACAACGATCCAAACTAATAAGACAATTACAAAAAATTAAACTATATCCTCCCCTAAGTATAGATACGATAATCGCTGAATCAAACATACCAGCCTGTTCATATGTTCACAGCTTCTTAAAAAATTGTAATCTCAAAATTTACAGTAACAACCAAAACCTAGAGTGTAAGTTGTTTAAATTTATGTAATAGTTAACTAATGTTCTGACTGTACAACTTATTCTATTGTATTATTCATGTACTCATGTTTGTTTGTATAGCAGAAATAAGCCTCGTAAGAGGCTTTAAGTGTTTAATAAAAAAAAAATACATTATTTTTATTCAAAAGCATGTAGTACAATTAAGGAAACCAAAACGGAGATTATACAGTCTTGATAGTTCTTTTTAAAAGAATTAATATTACCAGCTCAATAATCTCGAAAAAAAGAAGAAAATTTGTATCTTTGCATTATACAGAGTGTCCCAAAATAGCTTCGATTCCCGGAAATGAAGGGTTCCTGGGATGATTTGAAACAACTTTTTCCTTAGCCAAAATGTTATCCAAAGCTTTGTTAACGAAATATTAACGAAAAACCCTGACCAATCAGAGCACGAGTTTGCCACCCGAGTTTGAAATAAATTGAAGAATGTGAGCAAAAATTGGTGCGTTTTCGGTGTCCTTTTCACTTTGAACATTATTTAAACATATTTAGATGTCTATAATATAATAACAATTTCTATCATTTTGTTCAGAACAGTCCAGAGAATTATTTTGTATGAAAAGAAACTGAATAACTATTACTGTAAAAGTACAAATCTGAAAATTTGAAATTTAAAAAAAAATTGATTCTTTAAAATCAATCAATCAGCTCATAAAGATCCACCAGTAAAGGGAAGTTATCATGACAATTGCAATAAACAAAGCACAGATGGAATAAATATAACATAATGGAATGTCTACAAAATAAAAGTAAATAAGTTTTTAATAGAAGAAACTTCTTAATTAAGCTTCGAGTAACAATAAATTAGAATCCAATAACTATTTAAAAATATTTAATGAACATCAAATTTGTATTTATTTTCTTAATTTTGAAGTTTTAATAAATTCATGCAACGAAAAATATGTTTTTCCTTTTTAAACAGGTCTTGGTGTCTTACAGCGCACCATGAGCCTCTTTCAATCCGTCAAATTGATTGATTTTAAACTTTCGTGGCGTTGGTTGAAAGAAAGTCCACTATGTCTTTCTTTTTTTTATTGGAATTTACCAATATGCTATTACGTTGGGCTGAAAATGAGAAAACAGGACACCTTATTAACCTGCAACTTGAAATGATGAATGACTTACCCTATAATACGTATAAAATAGAAGCGATAGACGTTACTGTCAGAGAAAATGGAACAATTTTCATAAAATATCATAGATTCAAATATTACATACTTCTTCACGATCGGACTATTTATTGTATGTTTTTAAACATGATGAAACTTTCAATGTTAATTTTTAATCATGAAAATACAATCGACAATGTTCAAACTTTATCTCAGATCTTTTTATGAATTAATTTAACAAACAGTTTTAAAACAACTACTGATTTAATATTGACTTGGGTCAAATTCACCCAGCGTAACAATAACGTTTGAAGAAGGAGGTGTGACAACGGAGGCTTAATAGTTTGTAGAATCGCCTCTTAAATTTTCTGACACCTGTTATATAACACCCTGTACATGAAAACTGTAGAAGGAACATATTCTAAAATCACCTGAAAATGTTCTTTCAAATTTATTAATTACCCTAATACGTTTCGATCACATGAATTTCATGGGGCAAATCTAACTATATATGTCAAATGCTTTTATAAAATTGCAATAATTTTTAATGACACGAGTTTCTATAAAATTATTTGTTTTTATTCTTGGATTTAATCTATTTCAGAATGTAATTACGTTCAAAAAGTAAAAATACGTATATACATAGTTTAAAATTGAATTAAAGTTCAGATTAAAATCGATTTTTCATTCTTCATTACTTACTGCTCAGAAAATGTTAGTACATACACTGTGTTCCATCTCAAATTTCCAATCAATTTTCCTCGCCATCACACCGAGTCGATAGACTATCCGCAAGAACATTGATGAAAAGATACTTAATTAAAGGTCCTATCGGATTCGTTTTTTAAACAATTCCGGTGCGGTTTATAAGTAGTAACTTTTCTATTCGTTGTATAAACGTACAATATAACCCCCTATGTTCTGAAAACATAATTAAAGTCAATCACAGTATAAACTCGTTAAGGGTAAATCAACCTCGACAAATTTATTTCTAACTTGAAGAATAGGATAGGTTCGATTCATAAATTTATTCGAACACTGTTAGGAATTTCCTCGCAAAGAATGAAACATTATCATGATTCTAAAATCAAAAAAAGTTTGTTCCGTGAAGGAGAATTAGTGTGGTTTTACCAACCTCACGAAGTTAAGGGTAAATGTCCGAGGTTACAATTTAATTGGGAAGGAGCTCATGTTATTGTTAATAAATTGAGTGATGTTGTTTAGAGGATTCGTAGGAATTCAAGAAGCAAATATAAAGTGGTTCATGTTGACAGGTTAGCAGAATATAAGAGGAAATGTTGATTGGGTGAATGTTTGAAAAATTAGTTAAAGAATAATAAAGTTAGGTAATTAAGATTTCCCACTTCGTTTCGCAGGCTCGGCGGAAGGATGGACAGGGTTGTCCAATAAATATATTTAATAAATATATTTAATGGGTGTCGACGCATTACGAAGATGTGTCATTGATCCTAGCTTTGTGCGAGGTGAAAATGATCGGGGAACTTTAGGAGTATGAATGTAGGTACACTTACTCCCCGAATTCTATCTGGGAAGGATGTAACCAGGTCAGAACGGCGAACGGGAGGAAGGTTGAGATGGTTTTAGCTACGGTTGTTGTTAAGCAAAGCCGACGTTAGCAGCCGTCTCAATCGAGGTGTACTTTGAATGGTCGGTATACAGGGTGAGTCTCGTAACATGACGTCTTCAAATAACCCGTAGGGGGAGTTCCCGTAGTGCCGGACGCTTAAGGTTTTTCTTAAAATAAATAAAAAGAAATAATGTTTTAATCTTTTTATTCTGCCTTATTTATAAGTTAACAATATTGGAACTGTAAATAAAAGAACAATATAATCAACATTATCATAATAGTTAACTTAAAGGAACATTAAACTTTGGTATATGATTTTGAAATATCATTAAGTGGCCCCTAGTACCGGACACAGTAAAACTTAGTAACTTAACTCAGGACAGTTTCAATATAATTTTCAGCGATCACAAATATAATTATTCGAATACTCGGGAATATCGGTACAAGCCTCATGTGCCCATTCGTGGCAGTTTGAACATTGAAGAACAAACAACGAAAACGAATTTTTCCATCGAAAGGTATAAAATAGAAGGCTTTATGTTTCATTTTACATTTATTTCATTATCTTCCAAAAAAAATCGTCAAATATGACTATAACTCATTCAAGGCGGACTAACCCCGTAAGTAAATAAAATAGGGGAATAACAGGAAGGGGCATAAAAAATAGAACAAATTTTTACATTTAAAACCGCCATCATCTTTTCGAGAGAAGATTCGTCAATTGCCCGAGTAATGGCTTGAATATGTAGAGAGTAATGGGAAATATTTTCAAAACTAAACTGTATTTTATTTTTTTTTGTAAATAAACAACAAATCTATAAAAAAGGAGGCTACAAATTGATTTGTACGACTAATATACTATGCACTAATATTTATAACTTTGTTTCTCAACAATAGGTGCTTCAAGAAATGATCTTCAATCAGATGGGAAGCATTTCACAGGAAGAATTTATACGCTTCGTTTTAAGGATTCCAGAGTTTTTCTCCTCATTTCGCTTTAGAATCTAATTACTCTAATAATGATGCAACTAGAACGATAATTTTAACGATTACTACGATGTTCCGTTTTTTCAGTGAATCTGTAAGAACCTAATTGTATTGTACATTGCCAAGGTAAATAAAATCTTCATTAAAAACGAGCGATAAATATTGAAGTTATAATTCAAACTATGTACGTATAATGTCAAATACAAAATTATATTTTTCAAATATAATGTATACAGTAACGGACTAATGGTTACGAAATTATTGTAACAATTTTAGAATTATTTGAAAACTTGCTAAAGTAGTTATCCATAAATACCAAAGTAAACGTAATATACGAAAAAAGCAACAAGAGAATAAAATTATATAATTTATGTTTAAACAAGTGTAATTAGCCCAGACTCTCCATTGAAAACCTTCAGAACAGTTAATGATATTTTACTTAATCACGATAAAAATAATGTTAATTTTTAAGTTAGCTTAAAATATAAACTATTTCATGTTTAACTTTCCTTTTAATTATAAATATATTGGCCATGTGATCATGTTCCGTCGCTCTATTAAATTGTAGAATAACTCCATCAATAACTGTCTACATCTGTATTTATTTTAAGTATAATAAAAAAAAACGATTACCTTATTTATAAAATAATCTGATCCTTGGGACATATGAGATGATGGATAGTGAAGAATTATACAGGGTGGGACACACTCGTGTAGAACCGGGCAAGAAGTGATTCCTTACGAAAACGTAAGTGGAAAATGCACAATAAATTTTATCATAGAGGCTCTGCTTTCGAGAAAATCGAATTTGTAAATTTATCTAACACAAAAGCGTTTATGCTTACTATAAGTAGAAACAATGAGCAATGAACAAACACGTTGGTCATGTTATATTCACTAAGAAGTGTACCCAACAAATTTTCAGACATTTTTCCCGAAAATAAAGCCTTGCTTTCCAAAATTTTATTTCAGAATGTTATTTTTTTTTGTGAAAAATCATTCAATCATAATTAAGAATTTCCTCGTATTAATTCAATAAATTTTTTTTAGAAAGAACCTAAAAGTTACTGACGAATTTTTAACCTATTTGCATCATTAAGAAAATTGGAAAATATGCTCAAATGTTTCTTCTTTAAATCGACATCAAATGTATATAAAATGAATTCAAAACACGTTACTTTTATTGTGATTTGATCCAGCTTCAGTGAAAAATCGTAATAGCACAATATGCACAATTTTCGACATATTTACGCATATATTGAATCGACACAACTGTTGACCAAATAAAAAACATATTCCATTATAAAGCCATTAATTGATTATGTAAATAATGTAAAAATGATTGATTATGAAAATAATACGAAAAATGTTCTGGGAATCACTGGCATCGTTTAAAAGTTATATTCGTTCGGATTTGTTAATATTCGTTAATATTCGTTTCGGATGCAAATAGGTTACGATAAAGCAATCATCAGTAAGAAAACGGTAAAAACATTGGACATTCTTATGTACTAAAAGCAAAACAAAATCCTGACGTCTTTGTATCTCTCCGATAAAATGATATTTTTCATTTATTTTCCAGTTTCTGTTAGCATTGTGTAATGACGTTAATTCACCGTTTATAAGCGATACAATTTGATCTCGTATACACGCCAGTAAGAGACAAATTAGGTATACAAGGGGTTTGTTTCCGTCTCTCAGTTGTAAGTGGTAGAACCGAAGGTATTTTATATGTGATATAACTTTGTGGATATTTAGATAGATATGAGTTTGTCATTCCTGGGGCACACTGGTACTTGTAATGATCAGCTTTGAAAAACGATAAGGGATGTAGGCTGCCAGTACGATCCTTGTATTGGTTGCGATGAATTTGTACTCCCTATAACAAAATATGTAGTGTGAATCATGTAAATTGATTCCCTCGAATATCTTCGAAATCGTTAGTAATTACCTAATAATTTTTTTAGTTAGACACTTAGAAAACATTTGAAAGTCAAATTTGTTTCTTTAAATCGAATCATATATTTTTTAATATGTGAGGCAATGCTGTCCCTTCTCTATAACAAAGTATTAATAATTTAGGGGATATTTTAATTTCAAAATTGCAAAATGGTACTACACCTTGTCCAACGAGTCGAGTCAGTAACTATTATAATATAAGCAAAAAGAGGTGATGACTATTTAGGTGGGACAGGAACAGAGACAATTACCAGCCAATAGATAGGCTTAGCACGAAAATGTTTTGATTATCTTTACTAACTCGTCTCGTTGGACGAACCATGGTTATACGGTATTTACCTTTCTAAAGTTTATATGCAATGTTAAATGTTAGATGTGACGTGTACTATCGTACGAAATTTTGTAACTAAAATATCTCCTAAACTAATGGCTTTCAGCGTTAGTAGTTCAATACTTTTTCGTACAATATAACAAGCTACATGGATCAATGTATTAAAAAATATATGATTCCATTTAAAAAAAAAAACAAATTTGACCTTCATATGTCCTCAACACGTCCAGCTACAAAAAAACTGCATACATGAAATTATTTATCCCATGAAATAATTTAAATTTTATTCGAAACATTTTTCGGTATTATCACAGATTTCAAAGATATTCAAGAGGATCGATTTAAATGACTCAAAATTTAATGACTCATGGCAAGAGGCGGTTTGGTAAGTTTAGTTTTTAAAAAAATTGAATTTAAAGATTGGTCTAGAACGCGTGCACTTGACTATTTCTCCAGTTAATCGATTCACTACAAACTATTGCTTTCGCTCACACTTTCATGTTGATGAATCGTGGTAATGTTTACATTTCGCTTTCAGTCGTACTTTCTATTTCGTCCACTTTTCGTTTGTTTCTATCAGTGAAGCAACCACGAATACCGTAGACGTGTTGAAAATGTCGGAAGCTTGTGATGGAAATGCTAGGGCAGCAGCTGAGTATTACAGGCAACGATTTCCAAATCGTAGCCATCCAGACAGAATGGTGATATATGTATTCAAATGCTTCTCATGATCAAAATTGTACCCTTTATGTTCGGTTTACTTTTACTAGAGGTGACGTGCAAAATCACTAACAGTGACTTATCACAGTGATCGCCGAATCACGATTACGGTCGTGATTTAACCTCATTCACGACCGTGATTGCGATTTTTTTATCTTGTGTGAATTTGCTCACTGCGTTGTCCTTGATCTTTAAACAGAAACACGTATTCATTATGATTTTACAATGAATTACATTACTATTTGTGTTTTTAAAAATGTGTAGAAAATAACAAGAAATTCTAAAAGAATAATTTGCTAGGTAACATATAGATTATAATTTATAATCATTCATTTATTCATCCTTTTTCATTGTTTCTAATTATACTTTCATTTTATACGATATAACTCGAATTTTTGGTTCGATGTCGTTAATATAAAATATTATAAAATATACAGGTTACGTGTCGCGTGTAACGAACTGTTAGGTTTCTCCACCAATCAGAAACGTACACGAAAAATCACGAATCACTGTGAAAAATCACCGTAATTGGGAACGAACATAATCGAATCACTTGTAATTCACCTGTCGGATTGTACAGAAGTCAAAACAATAATTCGAAAAATTTCATTAGTTCCACAATTTAAATAAATTGAAACAATAATCGCTTCGGTTCGTTTTGTTTACATTTTGAGTAACCAATACCAACGAAACATAAAATTACTTGTAAAATCGTAATTAATCCATTTTTATAGATGCAACAAATTATTAAAGTAATTCTTGATGTCTTACAATGGATAAGATTAATATAATTAATAATTTGCATCATTTTATTATATCAGTTCTTTCTTACACTGCATTCACTACATATGTAAACTTTTAATCACGGACGCAAGACAGCGTATATTTTACACACAATGTTTTAATTTATTTAACGATAATGGAACTACTTCAGTAAAAATTATTACTTTAAATAGGTCATCAACTTCCTTCATTCTTGATGCATCAATTGTTGAAATTTCATTTGAGATTATTTTTAATTCACGATTAATATTGCGACGTGTTTTAGCTGCGACGATGTCAGGTTTCGGACTGTACGGCGTACTCTGCATTCCCCACTCGTACGGTGGCATCTTCAAAAATATGCATCAAATGTGAACGGTTCGAGTTTCAAATAACATTGTTTAAGTATTATATAACTAGACTGTGGATGTTTATGCAAATTTACAATTTTAGACATTAATTTATAAACATGAAAATAAGATTTATTTCCTGTACTAAATGTCTTATTATGTTGATAATAATAAACATTCAAATATCATTAAGTTTTATTAGTCTTTATTTTATTGCATTTTGTACATAAAAATGTACCTTAAATGCATAAAAATCCGCATTGTATACAGTACCGGACAAAAATATTCGTACACCATTTAATACGGAACAACTTTTTAAAAATTGATCCAAATGACTTGAGTTCTGTTGTGAAGTTAGGGACATTAGTTTACTAAATGATGTATAAAAGAAATTGAAAAAGTTGTAATTGGTCGGAAGGTGCAACGATACCACGAAACCCTACTTCCCAAATCTCGGAAATAAAATAAATCTCGTGACCGATTAAACAGATCTCTTAAGAAAAGACGACTTCCAGGACTGTTTCAAGGAAGAGGAGAAACATGTCCGTGTGCTGCTTTCCAAGGAAGTTATTTTAAAGAAATCATGTCATCTATCATCAGTCACACTTTGGTATTAGAGAAATTAATATAGAAAAGCTTCTATAAATACAGCCTCATTACTTTCGGAACAAAACACTTATATGTAATATAATTAACCTCCGTAGTTCGAAACTAAACGAACGTTAAGAAAGCACCTTAATTAACTTTAAGAAATTTCAAAATTTACCGAAAATTTTGATAGTGCTTCATTTCTATAATTCTGGAAATAGTTGATGGTACCGCCATCGTACAAGGAGCCACCCAACTTCGTTGGTGGATACGCACCCATAAAGGGTGGCATCAGGGTTGGTGGATAAAACGTAGCCTGCGTTTCCGACAACTTCGAGTCCCCCATCACCATTTAGGATTCTGCACTGTTAGCAACGGATAAAGGAAATGTTTACACTTTTCAATTTATTTGTCCGTATAATAGGTTAGCCAACGCATTGAATTTTACATGAGCACATAGACAAATGAGTGAAAGTTTCTTTTTTATATATCCGTATCCCAGTTACGATATGGACATCATTCACGTATAAATATTTTCAGTTAAAAGTAGAATTGATCAAAGAGGGATTTGATTAATAATTAACAATTATGATTACCAAGTGATCAAATGAGCGATTAATAATTACAGATCTCAGTAATTCACAATTGCAATTATCATTTATTAATATTTGACAGAAACATCAAAACGTATGACATCATCGATTATCATTAGCTCACATATAGTTAACTACGAAGTGTTTGCACTTTTGATTATAATTGCTTCGGCATAATATTCAAAGATATGGAAAATATAATGTAAAGACACAATTGTGTACAAAAATCATATGAAACTATTTCTTTATAAATTAGTATTTGTTAACTAAACGAATAAAATAGGCAATTATGTATGAATTTCTCATGCATGTGGAATTATACCCTTCGTACTGTACCGTCAATTCGTACAAACTTAATACGCGTGTATTAGTACGTGAAAGAAATTTACGTATACCACATGTTACAAGTGTAAGACTTACACTGTAAGTCATGGATCAGAACTGAGTAAGTATAAACTTTTAACGATTAGTTGTAACTACGTTTATTTAAATACATGGTACTTTTACAGACAGTACCTACACAATGATCCAGTTAATTATCGTTTAAACTTTTGCAATTTTACAAATATTTACTTTTACAATAAAGAAATGTTAATTTGAAAATGTAAATGGTAAATATTTGAGATGGGTAAATAAATGGGGATATAACATTGTAATATCATTGTCATTTTAGTGTTACCGATAATCATTGTTGTCATAAATTATACACAAATTACACATAAAAATCATAAATAAATAATGAGGGAGGCCAGGTCCCCTGACTTTCACCCATAACACTCCCCATCAGGCACATGTATGTATTTTATACAAAGTGCGTGGGTTGCACATAATAAAGTTACACATTTTACAATAATTATTTACATATTTATTTAACACTAAAACTAAGAATAGAAAGATATATTAAACATAATTCTTAAAAATAAAAAAAAAATGCGAAAAGAAATTGGAGATTGATTAAAAGCAAGAGTATAGTATGTGCAGATACCTATAGTTAAAATCTATATAAGCTTCAATTTGCTGCTTTTTTTTTTGCAAAAATATTTTTCGCATTCTCCAGCGTTAGTTTCCTTATGCACCCATTGCAGAGACAGTCACAATAAAAACTGAGATCCTATTTTCGGTGTATCGACTGATGGTATCCTGTTTCGATACAGATACACAGTGATGATACGGGAAAAATTCATACACCGTTGCACCATCAGAGTTAGGCGTTATTCGAATGATATATTATTCGAATAAAATTTCGGAAAAATTTTTCGAATGACATTTCATTCGAATAATCTTTGACTAAAAGTTGCAAATAAAACGGTTTTATTAAAAAATAAGGAATAATTCTTTACCGAATAAAATCGTTATTCGTCATTCACCAATAAATCCTGAAACTTTATTCGTCATTCGCAATAAAATTTGCCGAATCCATTGCACTGTATTGTATCAGATAATACGCAAACACGCAACAAGTGAATACCGGTCTGAAGATAACATATGATTTATATACATGATTGTTTACCTTCAGCACTATATCTCTCTTTGTTTATCCATGTACATATGTGATTCTACACATTTCTCTGAATTACTGTTCTAAATAAGTAACAAATAGGATCTCACTATCAGGTTTTCATAAGTAAAAATAACTGTATATGTTTCTAATTCTAAGTAATACCCGATGGTAAGACTGAAGGCAAACAAACGTGATTCTCTTCACGACACATCAGTTTCTTCACGACAATTATGCTGTAACACATAAAATTCTTTTACATTCGTATCTGAACACGTATATGAGATGTATATACCTATCTATATACAGTGTGTCCCCACAATCGTAGTACAACCAACCGGATGACGATTCTACGTGCAAAAGTAAGTCGACAAAAAAGAAAAATATTTTTGCATTTAAGGCTTTGTTTTCGAGATAATCGAACTTAAAGATCTGCTGAATACGCGTGCAGTAGAATTGGACTTTGCTTACTACCAGGACGAATACACGCATTTCACAAATTTTCAAAACCAATTTCCTCAAAAACAAAGCCTCCAACGAAACAAAATTATTCTTTTTTATTTCAACTTATATTTTCTTATAGAATCACCACCCGGTTTGTTGTACTACGAGTACTAGAGACACCCTGTACACGAATTTTTATTCTATTGCTATTTTTCTCAATTTTTTTAAACATATATGCATACTACTTTCTTGTAACAACACTCAGAAAGGAATGCGTAAATTTCGTGCAAAGGCAAAAAATGATAACGAATACCTACATACTTTTTTAAACGTATACATCCAATTTATCAGTTTCCCCCTCTTCTTGTTCGAATAAATAGACGTGCCTTAACAGGATACAAATCGTATGTCGTTTGTGATAAATTTGTAGTATCCATCGCACTAATGAACACGCAGGTGATACTTAATTAGTACACGTAGTTTAATTTAATTTTGCATAGTATCCTAATTTCCATGGGGTTTATACCATTACCAATGAATCAAACAAAAGTGTATTTAAAACTCTTTATATTCTTAGTATTAGTTCTGCAGTTCGTGAAAGCAAGTTATCACCTGGAGCTACTGCAAGTGGTAAGTACTTTAATAATTGAAGAGCATTCCACGCGAAATCGAACACTTTTTGGAATAATATCTCGGATTTTGTTGATACTTGGATATATTGTAGTCTTTAGTGATGTATAAACGTATCCTGAAGGATTTTTGAAAATATTAATAAATATCGATTCAAAAGTTGTTTGAAATATAGTGTCGACCTTTTTTCAATACTTCATAACTGTTGAACTAACAAACTCTTGCTATTTAGCTAATCGTGGAATATTTGGAAATTGATAAATTGACGACCGAATTGATTTTATAAATGAATTTGTACAAAACATTTCTGGCACTGTGTTGTGCTTTTACAGTAATAGTTATTCTGTTTCTTTTGATATGAAATAATTCTCTGGACCATTCCGAACTAAGTGATATAAATTCTTATTATATTATAGACATCTAAATATGTTTAAATAATGTTTCAAAGTGAGGACACCGAAAACGCACCACTTTTTGCTAATATTTTTCAGTTTATTTCGAAAACTCAAAGTCTAGGAGAAAATCTAACCGTAGCGCGCAATAGAGCAGTCCTTTCTGCTTAGGAAAGTGTCAAGAAAAGTTACAAAATCTGTTTTGTTTTCAATAGGGAAGCGAAATAGTTCAGCAAAACACGCAGCATTGTTGTATTATATATAACTAACATAAATCTTCGATATGTATTTATTAAATTTTCATTATAGCTTCAGATTAAAAAGTTGTAAAAAACGACCTTTACTATTTTCTTCGTGATTCCAACCAATTGCAATTTTTTTTTACACATCATTTAGTAAACTAATGTCTCTAACTTCACAAAATAACTCAAGTCATTCGGACCAATTTTAAAAATGTTATTCCGTTTTAAAGGGTGTACGAAAACTTTTGACACCGACTGTATACCTAATTTGGAATGAACTGGTTCTACTGTAAATGTTAAGTAACATATGTGAAAATTAATTTAATATATATACGTTTTACAACATCATTCTTTCTGTTTTCGCAGGTATTCCGACATGGTGATCGAACACCAGAGAAAGTAGAGTTATATCCTGACTTACCCTACAATGCCTCTATTTATGACGATCTGGGTTTTGGACAATTGACTAGCGTAAGTATTTATTACAATATAATCATAAGAATACTACAAAAAGGAAAAATTTAAATAGCATATATTTAAAATATCTGTAATTCTGAGACTTTGAACCAGAAGTAATGGTTTTAAACGTGTATTGCAGATAACGTCTACCTACACGAAGTGAAACAGTAAATTTGTACACGTGTATCCTTAATACGGGTTCGAATTAATGCAAATTAAATTATACATAATAAATATTACAAATATCACATAATTGTGTAATTAACATATCTGTGTTTTAATCCGTGCAGTTTTTAATACACGACTACGTGCACGGGTACACATGTGTTACCATATTCATATTCTATTTAGTGCCATTATTAAAGGGACATTTCGGGGTGCGCGCTATAAAAATTAAACACTGTTTAGGAATTTATTGTAAATAAAATACGCAAATAGAATGGTATAAAACTTTTCGTTATTTACTATTATACATTTAAAGAACAAAAAAATTGTGTAATGGTAAAATAAGTGGTTTATTAGTGTGTTTTTCCAAAGATCTGTGTACAGTCTGAAATGTAGTTGCGTTGCTGGCAGAGGTGATTTGAGCTTGTAGGGTACGTTAATTTTCAGTTAACAAAATTTAATCACGCGCTCCTTGCTCTGTCTGATACAAAATGTTCTACATATATTGTCTGCTTGATCATAATAGTCTGTTTGGTCTGTTTTGATATAAAAAAAACTAATGCATTGATATTTCCTGGTAGCAGACTATTCCTTTTTGTCGTAACAGTATTTCCGACACTTCACAAGCATCGTTCTCATACAAATGTTTGCTTTAAATTCAATTCAATTTCGTTAGGCAACGTACTCTCCTTGTTCATATTAACTGATCTAATAAAACTAAACTATACAACATTAGATGTCTCATACTTTTTAAACAAACTGGAAACAAGCAAAATGATAATTTAAACCTCCCTCAATTTCACGTGGACTAGATACATCGTATTCTAATTCTATCAAAATTTCTAACATCACGTCCAAAACTGATCGATTTGATATGGAATTATTCGTACTAGAGCTACTGTAAAATGACATCTACAACGGACTGCTTTGTCGTGTAAGAGCTAGCTGCCCCTGCTGAGTAACCTACATTTGTATGACAGAGACAGAGTCAGTGTCGGTTCTCGCTCTATCTCTGTCACACACATGAACTGCTCAGCAGGGGTAAGCTACCGATGACACCTTCAGGGTCACGGCACTTGTACAACAAAACAAGCGGCTTGCGTGTGTACCCTAGGAGCGAGAAAATCACCCTGTAGCGTGAACCACATGTTGACCTTCACCATTATGGTGAATAATTCGAACCTATGAAAATTAATTAAAATCTGCAAAGAAATGTAATATATTATATTTTCATTTCACTTTACATTCCTTTAGGTTGGTGAGGTGAGGGAGTATCGTATTGGTGTATTGTTACGAGAACTGTACAACGACTTCTTGGGTGACACTTACCAGCACGGTGACGTTCACGCTGTCAGTACGGATATGGATCGAACAAAAATGTCTCTGGAACTAGTTTTATCAGGACTATATCCATCAAACACGAAACCCAAGGATCAGAACATAAGTTGGATACCAATACCACTGTTATATGTCCCTACAATTGTGGACACTATGTTTGAAACATATATGTGCCCATTGTAGGTATATTAAATATGTATATTATATGTAAAAGGTGAATCACTGTACCTTAGTACATCAAATAGCTCTTTTAATTTTTACATTACCCAAAAATACTTCAGGACAGACATGTTTCGTTTGTTCAAGTATGCTTCTTTAATATCTCAACATCACCTTGATTTTGAAAAACAAACAACATACCTTTCTCAATATAATTTTGTAGCTCATTTAAAGATGATTTAACGAGGTTTTGGATTTATAGCTCATATCTCTTTAAATACATCTCCAGATACGACGCGGAATTGGAGAGAACATTGGAGTCTCCTGAAATTAGTGCGGAAGTATCGAAATATGATGACATTTATGAACTCGTCGCTGAAAACACGGGTCTAGATGTGGCATCTAACCCACTTGGAGAAGTTAGTGCTGTTTACGAATTACTCTTGTCTCAGGTACGAACAATTTTATTAAAATTTCTATCGTTTGTTTCATTCAAGACCAATTTCAACATACTCTTAAAATTCAAAACCGATAAACATTGTTACTATTTTTTGTAGGTATATGTATGTATTTATAAAAAGATACTTTTAACTTACTTAGGATTACCAATATCCTACTTAGAACTATTATGTGAACCGTAAATTCTCGAACAGTGCGCGCACCCTACTATCATTTGCCTTCTGTAACCAAAGTTTTGATCCAATTGGTGGAACGACCGAATTACCACGAGATCCTTAGGGTCACTTTTTTAGAGGACCTATTTGAAGCAATTATTGTTGCAATAGTACTATTTAAAAATGTGAATTTGAAAGACTTCCTCGTTGTTACTTTTCTCAACATAGGTATTTAAGGCATCTTAATTTTACAGGACAGCATGAACATTCCTCGACCGGCATGGGTGACGGACGATGTATATGAAAAGATGGAAAATATTACAGCCTTGGCCTACAACGTAAGTTCGTACACGACGACGCTGAAACGGCTAAATGGAGGTGCAATAATAAAGAAATTTATAGAAAATATAGTCTCCAATGAAAATAACAGAAAACCAAAAATTCACTTATATAGTGCCCATGACTTAAATGTTGGTGCATTCGCCAAAGCGAATGATTTTGCTGAGCCGAAAGTACCGTTCTATGGCTGTACAATTATAGTTGAAAAATTACGAGACGACAACGGCGGAGTATTTATTCAAGTAAGTTATTCAGAAGAATACCTAACGTTTAATGTTCCACATACAATTTAAAACTAATAATTATCTCATTCATTTCTACACATGTGTATTCAATTATTGAAATATAAAGCTGCCTGTAACTTATTGTTAGAAACCAATTTAGGTTGTACAATTATTTATGCAAATGTATTTTTATTCTCTTTCTATTTTCAATTTTCTTTCGAAGTTGCGCCCACACGATTTGCCATACACTGTGTATTTTTAATACATGGATTAGAGTACATATTATTTATTAAAATGTCTTTTAACTTTATAAAGTTCCATCTTCATTAAGTTGTAGAAAGAGTTACAAAAATTGTACGTATTAAACAATTACGACAGCAATACTGGTAAGCTTCGGCTGTTTAACACTAGAGCTACCAGCGTTGAATGTATACTAAATTAAATTATATAATACACATATTAATATGTATAATATATAATACAATATAACATAATATAGTATAATGTAAAATATATAATCAACTAAAAGTCAACATAAATTTTGACAAAAGCAGTTTTATGATTTCAATAATTGTAGAACAAAAAATTTTAAATCCGCAATTTTGACGAGTTTGGTTGCTCTAGTGTTAAACACTCACTTCCTATCGACCAAATGAAATTTATAATTAAACTATCTGAAAATTGTTATATAACTTTTTATGTAAGAGATTGGTATACTATTCAAAAATATTCAATATTATTCTCAACATATTGAAATTTGTTAACAGATGAAACTTTGGACCGGCGTTACAGAAATCTTATCTACCTACGAAATACCCTCATGTGGTACAATTTGTCCGATTGAAAGGTATCTAGATAATACGCGCAATGTTATCCCTACGGATGCTGAATCGAACTGTTTATGGGATATGGTAACAAAAGATGACATAAAGAAATATTACGAGGAAAACCAAGAATAAACTGTATGGATGTACAAGTGCAGTAGCACACAAATAATCATTTTTAGTTGTTTTCGTATTACTGATTGAGAAAATGTAATATTTGTTCAATTTCCAACACACCAATAAAACAACAAAAAGTAGTCATTAATAATTATGAAAGTTATGATATATACGTATTTGCTGGACAGTTAACAGTAGTTCTACTGTAAAAATCAGATCTAGCTATTCGTAGGCAATGCAAAGTAATACTGCAGCATCAATGCAATGCTTATATAAATATTAGACAGAATTCATTGTTATATACGAAGAGGTCTATGATAGCAAAATTTTAAAATATAAAACTATACCACATCTCATGATTGACGCCGCCCGCTCACCGACGAATCGTAAGTGACTAACGTTAAATTATCTTAAGGAAGCACAAGCCAAGTTAATAATAACTATACTCTAAAACAGTTTTTTGTCGGTAATATAATCAGAAGAAAATCGTGCATATAGATGTATATAAGTCAATTTTAAAAATTTTAGGCTTTTTTGTTTTGAACTTGATACTTCACTTTGATTCATTTTGATTCAATTTCTTTGATTTATGCATACTGATTAATTAAAATTATAAAAAAGATAATTACTTCTATTAACACAAGGTTTCCAGTCTTTTTTATCATCAACATAAATGTAATAATTTGTTACACTTGTGTAATAAGTTTACTAAAAGAAGACTTACAACAAGAAAACAAATTATATGAATCTACTTAATATGACCTTTATTACATAAAAATATATACATTAATAACAATAACAACGATCAATTTTTGGAGTTGAATTTTGAAATAACATATTTAATCTTTCGAATTGCTAACTCTATTTGAGCATCTGTAATTTCATGGTAAAGTACAAACCTGACGATCGAATCGTTTAAAGCCAAACATTTAACAATAATTGTATCTTCTTCGGTGTCATTGTGAATTTCTCGTAAGCGATTAGCAAACATTCTTGCGGTAGTAACGTTGGTATTAACTTCAACAAAAACCATATTCGTTTGCACGGCAGTTAAATCAACAGAGAATACCGACGATTGAATTTCATTTATTGAAGAAGCGAGGAGAAAGGCTCTCTTATGATCGTATTTCAAAATTGGAATCGTGTCTTCAAGAGCTACGAGTCCAGCTGCGGCAAGAATACCAACCTGCCTCATTCCACCACCTAATACCTTCCTTACTCTTCTTGCTTTAATCACAAATTCTTTATTACCACAGAGGACAGAACCTACGGGAGCACCTAAATCGAAATAACTTTATTTTAAATGAAATTAGTGTACATATGTATAAATAAGTGAGTCATTTGAAAACTTCTTGCAGTAAAGATAATTTATATCATTTTTCAAATATTTCTATTTCTCAATGTAGTCCCCTTTAACATCAATAGACTTGGATCAACGATACTTCCCATATTTCCATTTTATAGAGCAACGTTCTAAGCATTGTTGAGACACTTACATTTGAATTCGTTTCTCATCAATTGTTAGAAGGCACGGCACATGGACTAAACGCACTTTTGTCCAAACAGATATACAAAAGTAGGTACAAAAAACACTATATAATATACTGACTTAATACATTACAATTATTCATATAACAAAAAAAATCTCTGAAGAACTAAAGACTCTGGAATTACTAATGTTATCTAGTACTTCATTCCGAGAACTTTTCAAATGACGCACGTAGTTTAAGTTTAGCCTTATAATAAAACATCAGATACGTTACGTGAAAACTTGATCATTTTTTTGTAATATTACAATATCTTTCTGCTGTAGGAAAATATTACAGCTTTCTCACTTAAAAAAAATACTATCTACTAAAACTGTGTAAAGGGCAAAATGAATTTTTCAGTGAAAAATGTACCTAATCCTTTGCTGAGGCAAAAAGTCACAGAATCACAACCCGTAACGATATCCTTAGCAGATTTTCCAGATCCTACGCTCGCGTTCCATAATCTTGCTCCATCCATATGCAACTTCAAATTATATTTCTTACAAAAGATCACTAATTCTTCGATCCAACTTTGTGGGACAATTTTTCCATCTGTTGTATTTTCTATTATTACCAACTTTGAAATTGGCTCGTGATCTCTATCCTTTCGAAGTTTAGATTCAAGTTCACACAGATTGAATGTGCCATCAGAATTGTTTTGTAATGGTCGAAGATTTACTCCTCCAAGTTGGGCAGCACCACACTGTTCATGTAATAAACAATGTGAACCAGAACCACAGTATGCTTCACAGCCTCGGGTGTCACAATGATTCATAACTTAAATTTAACAAAATACATTTATTATATAAATCAAATTCAACATTTACTCAATATAACTAATTACAATACTTTATTATCAAAGAAAATTTGACATGAAGAAGAATATATAAAAAGACGGGAGTATTGATTAATGAACTAAAGAAAAAGTTTTTATGATCTATAAAAAAACGCCTTTCATGTATTATTTATAGTTTTTTTTTGCTTAATTTATTATAAACTTAATGTAGTATGCTTACTAGCAATCAAATTTCCCATAGATCCACAGGACACAAATATTGCTGCTTCCATACCAACCATTTCAGCTGCTTTTTCTTCTAATACTATAAGTTAAAAATGCTATATAACGTTTATCGGGCACAAATCTAAAATAAATTATACCCTTAAATTTATATATTCAAAATGTAGAAGTATTTTAACAAATTAATTTAATTAGTTGCCATGAGTTTGTAATATTTTCTGCAATTTACCAATGTTTACAATTTTTTCTACTATTAATGACAGCTTAAATATTGATAATATATTTTTATCCCCCATTTTCAAAACACTGAACCTACTTCTTATTAAACTTACATATTCAATTACTTTCATAGTATAAAATATTAATTAACTGTATAAAAAAATATTGCTCTCCATTTTCAATTTATTTTTTCTTAGAAAATTAACATGTTTCGGGTTGTACCATCCATCTGTAAACACTGTATGATACCCTTACATACTTTTAACTGTTGGATCTTCAAGAAAAACATCATCACCAACTTCAGCATTAAACATTGCTTCCCTCATTCTCTTAGTTGGTTTTGTTAAAGTATCACTTCGAAGATCAACAGTGTCCTATAAAAACACTTCTTAAACATTTCTACATCTGCAGAAAGGCATTGATCATTAAATTTGATCTATTAATGCTTACCATTTTCTTACTGCCATTCAAACTTGATGAACTGATGTTTTCATAGTACATTTTGTATTTAGAAATCACTCACTGTAAGATATAAATAAAAACAGATTTTAATTAATTTTAAACTTTTATTTTTAATTTTAAACTTTCAGTGATGAATAGTTTCAAAAAACACATATGTCCTTAAGGTGAATTTCTTTATAATTGACAAATTTTTTTTATATGTACATATGCATTTTATTGGAAGAGGTATGTATATAATATGCTAACAGTGAATAGTTTTTTATTAAGTGATTAATAATTATGTATTGTACATTCAAATGTAAACTATACAGTATTTACTGCTAAAATATACAGTTCAATCTTCTTAATGGACATTGCAATACCAAATGATATAAACTTTACACAAAAAGAACAAGAAAAAATGACAAAATACACACTATTAGCAATCAAACTAAAACAGCTCTGGAAACAAAAAACAGTAACAATAGTACCAATCATGTTTCACAAGGATCACAACAAAAAGCTTCCCCACCCACCTTGAAACGCTGACAATAAGCCTACATATGTACATAGATACAAATAGACACAAATATACAAAAAGCCACCATACTCAAAACAGCAGCAATAGTCAAAAAAGTATTACAGCTGACAGGAACATTTGACTTGGTAAGGAACCCGTCACATGATCATCAATCTACAAATATGTGTCGAAGAAATACAATAATAATAACAATAAATGATAGATATCATAGAAAAATAATACAAAGTTAATACTCATATCCATATTTACATTTGATCTAGTTAATTCTATATAATGTTAAATTCTAAACATTTTATATATAATAATACCTAATAATTTTTATACTTGTGTACAAAATTTGGAACAGAATCAAATGGTATCAGTTTTAACCCACTAAGTAAACAAAATTACATTTAAAAAATAATTTAAACTTAAATTTGAAATGTAAAAAGTTCCTTGTAAAAATTCTGCATTCTATAAGCATATAAGTAGGACTAGAAGTGAAAAGATAAATTGTGTAAGTTGCATTAACTACTGTGAAACAAATTATACATATGTACATACATTTTATCCATATATATATATATATATATATATAAATGGGTATATATGCAATGATGTACTCTTACTATAGTACATATATAAAATTTACAAGTGAACAGGTTTTGTTACAACTATGTGTATATATATGTATATATAACTTCAAAATATTTTATGTACACATATATCTAAATGAGAAAACAAAAAATAAGAAGGACCATACTCATATGATCAACCGAATAACCATGATTTTTTAAAAATTTCTTCTTAAAATAATTAAGATGTGTATATATGTATTACAAACATTTATCACACATATAAACATGTATGTAAATGATTTGGCAAACAAACAATTGGTTATGTGACTCACCGTATTTTCCAATATAACCTGAACAATTATTTAAACAACTTATGTACAGTCAGGAACATATTTTATATTTATATTCAATAAAGTAAATAAGTATTTTTGTACTAAATTGTAACCAATTCGTAAAAAATTTATAACCCCTTATAATAGACATATCCATGGTTTTCGGTAATACACTGTTAGGGCAATATGTATACTTGACTTTAACAGTAAGATCAGTGATTTACAATTCATATGTATACATGTATATTCATATTTACAAGTGAAATCGTAAATACGCCTTATTGCGATTATTGTTTTGTAAGTTTTTTTTTAAATGTTACAAACGTGACGTAACAATTTGCATGTAGTTAATTAAAAAGATAAATTATTTAAATTGCTTTAACTACTAGGTACATGTAGTAAATTATACATACACTTTATCCATATGTATATACATATACATAATAGATACATATGCAATGATGTATACTTACATACTTTTACTATAGTCTTTATATCAAATTTACAAAGTTAACAGATTTGTTACAGCTATAACATTTTATCAAAATATAATGACACAATAAAACATGAATTATTACAGTTTTTTAAATTATGATTTAATAACCTGTAGTTAAAAAACTGTAATACTGAAAGCATTAAAACAAAATATCCCCTTTTTAAATAAATAAATAAGTATATAATGGACATTTTCACAAAGTTTTACGATTAGAATAGATAGCCTATTATGTATAATTAAAAGTTTAAATACACAAAAATTGAAAATGTAATGTAACATAATAAAAAGTCTTGATTTCAATTTAATGAGAAAATTAAAAAATGTGTGGTAGAAACAAAGATAAAACGTATATAAATACATACCTTACAAAATCTTATTACACGTTTCACTTGCACTGTTAACTACAAATGTTACTTACTTTAACTGTTCAATCCTTTATACTTAACATTATAAATTATAATTTCAGATACGCATGCGCATAATGGTCCAACGGACTTCAAAATTAAGATGTATAGCTTCCGCATTTGGTATCGTATTTAGTTGGGGCTCCATATGGCCTTTTATACTTTTTATCAATTACGAATTTAATTTGAATGATTAATAGTTTAAACTACTTCAAAATACTTAAATGGAAAAAGAATGTGCAAATAAGTGGAAAAAGCAAAATTTTTTTTCTTAATGCTCCAGGTACAAGTCACACGTACATTTTTTTTACGTTACGGATGCAAAAAAAGTGGCGACGTCTGCATGATCAAAGCGTGCTCTATTTTACAGTTGCAAATATTTTGTTAATAAAAATGTCTTATAACGTGCACGCTACGGTCGGAAAAAAAGGTAAATTCGTTAAGAAAAACATAAAACAAAACATTGGAAAGTTCGTCAACAAACCTAAGGAAAACAAGCGACGTTGCCACTCATAGCAGCATGTGTATGTAAGATACTACCTGATACTACCAAACACAGTGAAACTTAAGTTTGCATATTTTGATCTCAATTTTTATTTTTATTTGATCGTTAACATATCTTATTTTTTCCATTCCATCATAATCTCTGTAAAGAAATCTATAACCACCTAATTTTGTATGAAAACATCATTTTTTGTAGCTAAATAAGAAGTTTCCATAAGACTCATGTTAAAAAGAAATTTTTGTAACGTTTTTTTTTTTCAATAATTTTATCGTTGACCTTGTGATCTTTTGGTAGCAATCGAAACTGCAAGATTTCAAGAATGTTCTGTTAAATTCTTAACTAAATTTAGAATTATTACAAATTTGCTGAAGCCACCTTAATCGAATTAAAAACGTGCGTTATAAATTTATATTACAAAATTTCACTGATCTCTCATAATTGGCCCCGTAATAATCTTATATTTGAACATCAATTTTTAATTTATTTTACTATATATACATAAGTGGGTAAATAACAAATTTTAAATGTACAATGTATAAATAACATACTAAATAGTATAATACTACTAATAGTATAATACACAAATGTCAATAATTATAATAAAAATAAAAATATGTTTTTGCAATAACACTAAATATAGTTAAATTTGTTAGTTACTATTTATTTTACTATTATCCCGATTATACGTCTATATTGCCCACGAGTAGTACATTTTGACTATAAAGTTACACTAGGTATTTCAGATTGACGGTTACAAACCGCTATATGACACATACGCTTATTCAAAACCATAATGTGGATAGAACACAGTAAGGTAACTTTTCTTGTAGGCAAAGTCTTTCATGGCGTACGTACGACCTGTTTTCGATTAAATGATTGGTTCACGCATTTGACTTCTGTCCAATGAAATTTCTTTAGGAACACGTCATGTAGTGATGTGAGCGCTGCTATGCAGCATACCTTCAATTTACGTCCCCACCATTAGCTTCGTATGAAGAGGAAGGAAGATGGCCGCGAGGAGCGAGAAAGAAAACAATCTCGAAGAGCGTTAAAGGTGGTAGAAGAACACCGTGCCTCGAAGGAGAACGAACTACGAATCGTTCGAATCTCTCCAACCTCAGATTATTCGAACCACCGCCGAGAAACAGACACTCGAAAACGACGGGAAAACGGTTGTTGAATAGTTACATGTGTGTCCTTGTCACGAAGAGGTCAGTCTCGCGAGGATCGTCCTTGGAATCGCTCGTCCCTGAAGCCGGCTCGAGGAGCTAGTGATCTCGAAAACAAAAATGGCGGACGTCGACTCGAGGGTGGATCATTCGGACCCCGAATTGCGGTTCCTTTCCGTTGACAGAAACAATTTCAATGATCCTGCTACTCAGGCGGAATGGACTCAGAAAAAGTTGGTTTGGGTGCCCCACGACACCCAGGGTTTCGTGGCAGCCGGGATAAAGGGTGAACGGGGTGACGAAGTCGAAGTGGAGATTGCCGAAACTGGGAAACGTGTCCTCGTCGCGAAAGATGATATTCAGAAAATGAATCCACCGAAATTCGATAAAGTTGAAGACATGGCTGAGTTAACGTGCTTAAACGAAGCCTCCGTGCTGCATAACCTCAAAGACAGATACTACTCCGGCCTCATTTACGTGAGTTTGACAGATTTTATCCTTTCTATTTACTGAACCTGTCAAAAGAATTTTGACAATCTTTTGTCCAAAAGTCTTTTCCGTCCGTCAGTTTTGAGAGAAATGGAGTGTACTGTTTTTAAAAGAGTTAAATTTTGACTGATACATGTTTTTTATTTTTTTTTTTATTTTGGTAATGTATGAAAGACTAGGTTCATCTGTACTATTACGAATTGTAAACCTATTTATGAAATCAATGCTCTTATGTCACGTATACTCTTGGAACCAACATACTGTTAATTTCATTATGGATGTATTACTTTTTATGTGTATCAAAATATATCTACAGAAATATTAGAAAGATTAAGGTGGAATTAGTGATGTTTTTGTGCCGAACAAAGTATGGAACTATAAAATAAATAAGTCTGTTAACCAAGTTTCTTATCAGAACTACTAAAGTGTATCAGTGTATATGTATATTAATTTGATATGTATTGTATTAGAAGTAACCTTGTACAGACTAGAAAGTATACTTGTAGTCAAATTACTTGATGCTAATTTGGTTTAGGTATTTTTATAATTTCTTCTAAAAATATTGTATCAGGAGTTGCTATCTTGAAAATGAGTAATAACAGACACAAAGATAATGTTTACCATTATCTTATAGATTTTTAGTGTGATACTGTTTATAAAAATATACTTGTTATCTATGTGAGACAATAGGAGCAAATTAGAAGTAGCTGTAAAGTGGAATTATTAGAGTTATCAATTATAACATTGAAGAATTTAAGTATTAGAAAAAATCATGAACTCTACCATAATCTTACTATTATTTCTTATAGATACATTCTTCCCCGGGTACGTTTGCTAATCTGACTCCCATTAGCATATTATATCGTCGTCCTCTCTACTTTTTTTTTGCTAACACTGATCGAGATCAGTCAGACGCGGCATAGAAGAGAACGAGCTAATACAATACATACGTGCGAGTGAGATAAAATTCCTCCTGGTTTCCGGTACTTCAAACTTGCCGCGTATCGTGCTGATGTGTCAACTACTAATCCAACACAAAGGGTCCCTTCTTTATTGTTAGATTCTGACGAATCTTCAATCAGTTGCTTGGCGAGGTTCTCTTGGTGATAATGAATTCCAACACGATCTTATTCGAACATTTTTGAGCAATTTCTTTGCAGAATTTTAAATTATGTTTAAAACCTTTTTCACTAGAAAAGCACAGTGAATCAATTATTAAAAGTTGTGTGAAAATACAATGACAAATAGAATACTCCTTATGATTAATTTCTAGTTAAGACACCGATACGACGAGCGGTACGCTTTGAAGTATCGGGAGCTATGCGACAAGTTTCATGGGGTGCGCTATTTCACTTGTTCCCATTGTATTCGCTTACTTTTCTGTGTTCACGCTTGACTAAGTTCGATTCTATAATCATAAAGGTACTACCTTCAACGATTATAAGATTTGAGATGGACCCTGGTTAACCACGTAAGAATGTATTTATTAATGAATAAGAATTGCCTTAATTTTAATTCAGTAATATCGAATATTAAGAAAATTTTTCATAAGAAAATATCAACTTCAATTTGGTATCAAGCAGCAACTATAAACTTCCATGTGCACTTTGTACAGAATATAGATTACTTAAACTATAAAAGTAAGTCATGATGACATTTGAATAATATTGAAAATTTGTTTTTATGTATCCGAATAATTTTTTATCTTTGATATCTTAATATCAATTATAAATTTGTTTTTCAAATCTAAACATTTTTTGGAAAAATCACTTTCTTTGGTATGACGTATAAATATAGTTGACATTTAATTCACCCTTTTGTTTTTGTGTTGATTGAAACATGCGTAAGATGTTGGAACATAATTACGAATGTTATTACGGGAATTATTGTTTAGGACATCTTGAAAACAAAGATTGATTATAAATAGCAGTTTACTTATGGATACATCTAGTGCTTTCTTCATGAATTATTCTCCTATTACTAACAAAGCATTATTAACTTTCAATGTTACATTTAGCAAATTATGCATATAACAATAACTATATTTATATTTTATTTTACATTTATATTAAAATTATAAATTTAACTTCATCTTATAAAAAGAATTTTTTAAATTCTAATTATAAACATTCATCATTAATGATAAATTATATGATGAAACATTAAACATGCACATTATTTATTTTCGGTATTTCTTGCGTTAAAACGTACCATTATCATATCTCGCAAACTTTCTGAACTCCAATGACAATAATAATCACTTTTTCTTTCACAAATAAGAAACCTCTTAAAATGATAGACGAATTATTGATTCTCTTTTTACATAAATTAAAAAGATGACAACCGAAAGATTCCTATTTGAATGAACAACCTTTAAAAAAGTTGAAACACGCTCAAAATGAATTTTGTATCCTTCTTTTACGTACTTGTTCATCTTTCATTCAGTACTCTAAGTTTGTTATGTAGATAAAAATTTGATTATCGTTGATATTGATTCTGAAGACTCAACCGTAAAAATTGAAAAAGATATGCCTATTTTAAATATTTCACACACTTAGTAGGAGACATGTTGCCTCCAATGATTCGTATTGGTTTACTAAAGGATTTGTGACCTGAGCGACAATATTACTAGTGCAATATGCATGTACCTTAGGAAAGTATATTATCAATGAAGCAGGGGGAAGGCATCAACCATTACTAAGTTTAAGTAGTTTCTGATTATATTTTCTAACGTTTGTCTTTTTTAACTAATAATTTCAATATTGCCAGAATACCGATGTTAAACAGAATTAAATATATAAAATCTGCTGAATGGATGAATAGAACTGAAAAAAGTGAAGGAAGGTAGAATTTCAATGTTAATAGACACCACCATTACGGTTCCGTCTCTTGACTGTTATCAGAAACTGATAACGGTAGTACCTTACTTCCACGTAACATTGACTCACCGTATTTTTTAGCGTTCGTTCAGAACATTGTATTGCTATTTCAGAGTTTTACCCTACAGACGAGATAACAGAGATAATAATCAATATTTATTGAATACCTAACTAAAAAAATTGTTATTGCATAACCAATGAATTCTATTTATGGAAAGTAAAATTTAATAATATTTTACACATAACTATAATTGTCTGAAAACTTAAGGGATTATAAATTTGAATATAAGGTTCGGGTTAACAATTCATCAAATTCTGTAAATAGTTTCATAGTCTGAGTATTCAAATTAGAGCAGTTTTCGATAGTTCTATTATAATAACATTTTAATGTATTATAATATAGGTACAAATAATCGTATGTTTAGTGTTCGAATGTGCGTAAAGTGCACGACCATTGAAATTTTTTAAGGTAATCGTTCTTGAAATTTTATTATCACAGGAAGTTTTGTAGAAGTCATAAGCTTACAAAGTGACCTGCGATGCACACGTTTAATCTACATTACACAAGATATGGATTGTATAAATTGTCAAATGATAATGAAACGTCGAAGGTAGAAAAAGCAACGAAATTTCTGCCACGTTTAAAAAAACGTTTGCATTTCTAAGTGCAGGATATCTCTTTCAATCATATAGTAATTCATTAAAAGAATTTCGAAAAAGTACTGAACGATAAGAAACGGAAGCCATAATAGACATTATTGCTTTTGACGATAAAACGAACCATCTGATGCAGTCTTAAATGGAGGACTAGCAGAGTTTTATCATACGATATTAGTTAAAAGAATTGCAGTTTTTATTGGGCCTTACGATATAGAAATATCTGCTTACGTATGGCAAGCATTCTAGGACACGAGAGAATGACGTCATGCATGTGCCTCGTACGTGCTGATTTTTCTTCTTTCGATCCGTGATATATCGCATTCCGCGTAACGTTCCAAAAATTAAGCGAATCTGTAAAACTAAGACCGATAAAGAACTTTGATTAAATTTCTAACGGTGCAAATAAACAGAAAAGTTTTTCCTACCACCGCTACTATTAAAACTTAATCATCGTAATGTACTAAATGTATTAAGTTGAATACGTTTTAATTACTAATATTATTGAAGAGACCATCGAGTTTGTAACAACAAGACAGCTGCAAGTAGCAAACCTAAATATCAGAAAAAATTCTGTTTTGAGCGTTTCGAAATTTGAAATTGCAAAAATAAAATTAACGTTGTAAAGACATTTTTTGGTTTGAGTAGAAAACAAATTCACTGTCGCATTGTCTACAATACATAAATGTGTTATTTTTTTTTGCATTCCATATTCGATACGATTAATGACTCCCACTTCCATACTTAATTATTATTTCATAAAATTAAACCAATACCATGACTTTGTTGAACATCATTTTAAAGGTCGAGGCGTCGGGTACTATAGTGCCTCAAGAGAGAGCTAGTTGTAACACAGTAAGGAGAAAATTGATGCAGTGTTAAATTTTGGACGAAAGGTTAATTATGAGTAATATAATTGTTTTAAATTAATGGAAGACTGACATTATACTTACTGAAGCTTGTTTGTAGTACAGGGATGGCAAATAAGTGGCACGGGAACAATTTTTGATGGCACATACACAGATGCAAAACTCACCTCCGCTTGTCTTAAATATTATACATTGGATTTATATTTGGTTAATCTTATTATATGTACTTATCTAAACGTATACCCTCTACATCGGAGCTGGCACGGCAAAAAGATCACAATAAATTTCACCATATATTGGCATCTAGATCAAATCCTATTTGCCATCCCTGTTGTAACGCGTGAAAGGTTCGTTGATTCAGGAGATCTTAATAACAATTACGGTTAATGCTTCAGAAAAGCAGGAAACCAATCGGTTGAGGTTTCTTGCTTATCTGCCTAGTCGCGAGGAAAATTTTACATCATTGGCCACTGCATATTCATAAGCCACGATCCTCACTTTTTTTGGTGTTAAAAAATAAATAAGTGTTACAACGTTGTTTATCAAAAGATATTTAACGAGTTTCTCTTCTTGTTAGCCTGTA